TACATAAAATTGTACGTGAGGACTTGTTGAGAACTCCTGGTTTATACCGTTCATTTTGAAAGATAGACAATAGACAACGCCATCGCTCACTGTATAAAACTGGCAACGTCTTGTCGAAATTCCCATAAGGTTAGCATTGCATATCTTACCCTGTAAAGACTAGTCACTTTGAGACAAAGTATAGAAATATGTCTAGTAGATATATTTCTAATTCTAGTTTAGCGATATCTACTAGAAAACTTTAGTTTAGTTCTCATAATTACATAGTCAACTTCTTCTATAACAACTTCTCATTAATAAATATTCAGTAAAGATAATAATTTTCCGAGATACATCGGATTATGTTTTAAATATCGAAGATGTCGAGCATTAATCGAAATTTTAAGACATTTTCATGAGATGTTAACTTTTGTGTGACAGTGGTTTTGCATTCCTGACTAGAATGAAGTAGATGTTGTATCAACAGCCCCAAACAAGCATTTGATAAATTAAGTTGAAAAAACGTGACAGGGATTATAAAAGTAAAATACGGAACAAACTTATAAGCATGATCTCCCTCAGTAAAGTACTACCATATTTCTAAGAGACTCATTAATATTCAGCTCAGAGGAGTGCTCTTGCTTGTGGTATCAAATTCCATAAACCTATTATATGAAAAGATCCGTTGTTTATATAATTTCACACCTCGAACAATAGCACCCCGCTGTTACGATCCTGTCCGGAGGCGATCCCCCGCTGCCTTACCATTTTTATAGTGTATTTTTATGTATGAAAGAGTAATAAAACAATAAATTATGTATGCAAATCCCTAAACTGTTGATACGGGTGACTCAATGAAAAACAGATATTTGTCAACAAGTTTACAGAAGTATATAGGAAAACAATTTTAAATTGAGTATGACCACCAGGTATAAAGGTTGGAGCAGAATAGAATACAATAGTTGTGAGGGTTACTAATCCCTAAATAAGGTTGCCAGTGTCGGAGTGATGGAGGTTAACAGGTACTAATGAATTTGCAAGAAATGTAAGATGTTTATTTTATTGGTTATATATAACCAATAAAAGTTTAATAAGTACCTACCTATTTGCAAAATAAAGTTTAATTCTTTAGATAAAATAAAACGTTTTATTTTATCTGAAATGAGTGCATTCCACGAAGTAAGGGTTTCAACAATCAAACATTTAATTCTTTAATTCCAGGAATCTACGACAGTAATTGACTAGATAATTACCTTCTAAACTTATTCCACAGAAAATGTGATAGTGGGTTTTTCCATTTTGTAGGAAGGTCCAAGTGGCGTATTCAAAATTCTTAACAGTTCACTAAAAGTAGGTACTTCAGTTGCAAGGTGCAGTTTATTGTGTATACTAGTGTTATGGAAAATTTGGAAGTGCCGTGTAAACGCCGAAAAATTGGTCCTTTAACAGTTAATGAAAAAACATTAATATTTAATTGTTTTAAATCATTTACAGACAAACGTTTATGTGAAAGTGTTGATGAGACCGTTGAGTTAGTTAGCAGTACACTTGGTGTTGGGAAATCTACGATTTACAGAGTTATTAAAGAAGAGAAATGTGGTAGTTTTCAAATGCCACGTAATGCTCCAGGGAAACCAAAATTTCAAATAGAATATCATTTTAAAGAAGGACTTCGACGGAAAGTGCATGAATTCTTCTTTAGACAAGAATTTCCAACATTGGATAAAGTTCTTGTCTCAGTTCGAGATGATAAGGATTACCCAGAAATGAGTCGAAGTACGTTATGGAAACTTTTAAAAGAAATAGGCTTCCGCTGGAAAAAGAATCCAGAAAGTCTATTTTATTAGAAAGAAGCGATATTGTCATATGGAGAAGACATTTTCTAAGAACCATAAAGGAAATGAGAAACCAAAAAAGAAAAATATTTTATCTTGATGAAACATGGATCAACGAGGGTCATACACCAAATAAATTTTGGCAGGATGAAACTGTTACAAGTCAAAGGCACGCTTTTGTAAATAACTTATCTACTGGTTTAAACCCACCATCAGGAAAGGGACGCAGGCTGATAATAGTACACATTGGCAGTTCAGACGGTTTTGTTGAAGGTGGTTTATTAACTTTTGAATCAACTCGTACCGGTGACTACCATGAAGACATGAACGCTGATGTCTTTCAAGAATGGTTCGAACAAATGATAGATCTTCTTCCTAAGAACTGTGTAATAGTAATGGATAATGCAAGTTATCACTCCAGACTTATAGAAGGACTGCCCACAACCAAGTGGTTAAAAAAAGACTTGCAGAATTGGCTGAGTTCAAAAAATATTACGTACCATCCCGGATCTATAAGAAAGGAACTTTATTCGTTGTGTGCCCTTCATAAAGAAAAATTTAAAAAATACGAAATTGATGAAATTGCCAAAAATCGTGGAATGACAGTACTTAGATCCCCACCATATCATTGTGAATTAAACCCGATTGAACTGGTATGGGCACAGATAAAGAGTGAAGTTTCAAGAAAAAATACCACTTTTAAAATTCATGATGTTAAACAGTTGTTTTTGGAGGCCGTAAATAATGTAAAACCTGAAAACTGGGAAAAGGCAGTAAATCACACTATTAAAGAAGAGGAAAAAATGTGGAAGCTGGACAATATTACTGATAAAATGATCGAGCCAGTTATTATAAATCTTGGTTCTGAAAGTTCATCTTCTGAATCTGATTTGGATTTGTAACAAGTAGCTGTAAGTTTTATATTAATATTTTTATTCATCTATTTAACATACCTTAGACGGTTTTAAAAACTCTTTTTCTCTTTTGTAATTTTTAAAATTAAAATGTGAATTTTTTAAAACTCTTTTTAATGTAGGCCAGTCAGTTCTAATATAGTGTGTGATAAAAGAGGTCACTTTTGTTTACATACACATAACACTTTATAACACTGAAATAATTCATTTATTTTTTACAATTATTCAAAGTAATTTTTCAATTAATCTTGAGCACGCCCATGGAGTGGTCGGAGGTACCAGTTAAAATTATGCTAATTACTCTCTCGTTCATAAAAATAAACTATAATAGGGATAAAAGACGTAAGCAAAATAGTCACTTTGGAAAAGATCTAAGCCTAAGTTGAAAATAAATTTGGGAAAATCATATTTCAATTCTTGCGGTAGAATTGTATCCGAGAAACAATTTTTTTATGTAGTTTCTAGCTGTCCACGAAAGTGTCATATTTGTTGTTATCTCTTGAAGAAAGAAAAAATATTTTACAAAGTTTTAACAACTTATCTAATTTGCATACTCCTTACATTAATATACAATGTTGTTAATTAAATGTTGTTAAGTAATTAGGTAATATGGTAATTCTATCACTACAAGTTTTAGATGGGAGATTCACTAGAGCAAACAAATCAAGATCTGGCGAATTAATCACTCCATTAGTAAACAAAAGAGACAAGCACGTTCCTAAGAGTAAGACAAGGGAAACAGATATTCAAAATATAAAAGATTTCATTAACAAATTTAAAAAATACACATGCCACTATAGCCGCAACAAAAATTCTAATCGAGAGTATCTGTCAAATGAGTTAAATATATTAAAACTTTTAGATTTGTATGTGCAAAGTAAAAAACCAGAGGTGAATATATTTACGTTCGTCTTTTCGGAAATATTTAATGAAGTTTTAATCTTTATTTCCGTTATGTTCTTACTGACACTTGCAAACGATGTGACGATGTATATCATATAAATAAAAAGATGTGTAGGTGTAGAAAAAAGCAGAATGAAAATAGAAAAAGAATTACATCCACAGAAGGCAGCTCTAAGAGAAATAAAAAAAGATGCATCTAAGAACATAGATAACACAACAGTAACTACATTTGATTTGATGAAAACTTTAGCTACTCCTGGTATTTCTACCGGAGTGGCTTATTACAAGACCCAGTTATAGACGTATTCGTTTGGTATTCAAAATCTATCGATCGGTCAGATACACATGTATATTTGGCATGAAGGCATAGCCTCACGTGATCCACAAGAAATTGGTTTTTACAGTTAACACTAAGTAAAAACGTATTTTAACACACCGGTTTTGATCTTATACAGCGATCAATGCGGAGGTCAGAATCAAAATATTAAACTGGCATCTATTTGTACATACATGATGGTCTAGAATATTTTTAGTCTCACAGTTATTCATCACAAGTTTCTAGTTTCCTTTCACTCCTATTCGCCATGTGACAGAGACTTTGGAGCGATCGGAAAACAAAATAGGTATTTTATTGACATTTTTTTGCCAGACGATTAAGTGAAAGTTATTTCCAGTTTCAAAAAGAATTTATAATTTCAGATTTTTAAAATAAACTGAATAAAAATTTGTAGTGTACTAAAAACTAGAGAAGTTACTTACAAACCGGAAGAAGGAGGAGCAAGATATAAAAGTAGAATGGCTAAAAATGCAGTGACTAATGTTCAAAGCAGAAGAGCCCTTCAAAATATTTAAAATATATTAATAACGAGAGTGTATTATTAAATTGTGTTGACGCCTCAAAAAAAAAGAACAGACGTCTTTTAAATAAAAAAAGAAGGCTTCTACTTAGACATCCTCTTTTCTGCTGGAAGGCTCATAGAACAACTAAAATATAAAGACCTTCAAAATCTTCTTGATTACATTCCGGCTGTCTATTATGAATTCTACACAAACCTGAAGATACACGTATAGACAATAGTTAATGATATTGGATCGAAACAGATGAATAGGTGACGCAAGTGAAAGTTTTTTGTTTTTTCGTACAAGCTTTATACTTGACATAGTGGAACAACTGCCTTTTTTGTATAAGAAATTTTTTTTTTGTTAATCTCTTGCTCATTTTACTCATATAATGTACAACGTTTCAGGAATGGTTTCATTTTCAGCTCAATTATTTAGTTGTCGATATCTCAAAACATAAATTTTACACTTAGGCTATTCTGCTTCTAAGCAAATTAACTATAAAACGGATTTGACTGAGTAATATTAATTATTATTTAAGAATGTATGTTTTATTTGCCTTCTTAAACTCTAACAATATTATTTAACAAAAAAAATTTCTTATTTTTTAACAATATGTACATTCTGTTAACCAAAAGAAACGTAGGGTGGTTCCATATATTTCTCGATAATCGGCTTTACGTCTTTGTAGACCCTCGGATTTTCTCTCACCTCAAAGGTAGAATTTATATTTAAATAAGTTAAAGAATCTGGATTCGACATCGGCCACGTTACGTTCAAGAGTAGTGGATCCGCCTTAGGGGTTGGATTGCTAAAATTTAAATATATATCTCATCAAGTGGAAATGGATAAAAGAAAGTAATAAGCAACTTACTAATATTTAATAAAATTGGTCCAAAGTGTTAAAAATCGGCGCATCATCAGCTGATCGTTTTCGGGAAATTTACTCATATCATTGTTATTTAAAAATTCCCACCAATAATGTAGATCCTCCATGTGTCCAACTCTTTCAGCTCCTGAAAATATAACGTTTGATAATTTTGTTTTTAGATAGTAACTTATTTATTATATTTAAATACGAAATTTACTTTTCTTTGTAACTTATTTAAAACCCTTCTTCTAGTTCCATGACCGTTATCGATCGTTGGATATCATGTTGGCTACCATATTCGCTATCGTGACTTTACAGCAACTCTAAATAACGATGTAGTTGGTTTTCCATACCATTGCCTTAGATTTTTCAGCCATGATGTTCTTCTTCTACCAGGACCATGATTACCTTGGATCTTTCCCTGAATGATCAGATGTAAAAGATCATATTGTTCAGGGTGTTTCATACTGTGACCGAAGTATTCTAGCTTGCATTTCTTTATTATATTGACCAGTTGTGTTGTTTGGTTCAGCCGTCTAAGGACCTCCTCATTTCTAACTCTGTCGACTCAGCTTATTTTCAGTAGTCGTCTGTATACCCACATCTCAAAGGCTGTCAGCGTTTAAGGATAGCCTCAGTTAGATTTCACGCTTCCACTTCATACATTAGGACAGGAAAGATATAGCAAAATGTCATTCGAACTCTCAGGTCAATGCTAAGATCGTGACTGCAAAGTATCTACGTTTCTCATTTTTACAAAGACAGCTCGGGCTTGTTCTATTCGGCTTTTAATTTGTGCGGTTATATTATAGCTCTCATTGATATTACTGCCGAGATACACGAATTTCTCTACTCTGTCCAGTGTGTCATCTTCGACTTTTACACCGGCATCCTGTATATAATTTTGTTTGCTAACTATCATATATTTAGTTTTCTTAAGGTTGAGTTTTAATCCATACTGATTACAAGTCTGTTTTATTTTGTTCATTAGATTTTGAAGGTTTTCTCCGCAATTAGCAAGGACTAAGGTATCGTAGGCATATCTTATATTGTTGACGGTTACCCCATTCACAATAATACCTTCGGTTGTCTTCATAAGGCTTCCTTAAATATTTTCTCCGTATATGTTAAAAAGTAAAGGCGACAATATACAGCCTTATCTCACTTCTCTTTTTATATTTATTTCATCCGACAGTTCTTGCTCAACCTTTATTCTTGCCAGTTGATACCAATATATTTGTAATTATTCGTAGATCTTTATCGTCCTATTCAGCTGTTTCCAATATTTCTAGCATTTTGTTATGTCGGACTTTATCAAAAGCCTATTCAAAATCGATTGAACCAATGTACACATTTTGATTTATATCTCTGCATCTCTGTACTAGCACCTGTATACTAAAGATCTTCAAAACGTGACTCATCAGACTTATTGTCCGATAATTTAAAACCCCGTCTCGCGTAATTGTGCAGTCATACATTTTGGAACATAAATGTTAAACATCTTTAAGCTAACAAAATTGTATTATTTCAAAAGCAAGACGTCTCGGATTATGCCTGTGACGCGAGGGTAGATTTTATCTTCTTCTACTTACGGTGTCTTATCCTTAAGGACGTTGGCCATTACATTTGCCCATTTAATCTTATTTGTAGCAGCCCTAAATAGTTCTATGGAGGTCATGTTCGTCCATTGCCGTAGGTTTTTAAGCCAAGAGTTGCGTCTTTTCCTGGTCCTCTTTTGCTATTGACTTTGTCTTCGATTATAAGTTGGAGCAGTTCATACTTTTGATTTCTTATGATGTAACCAAAATATTGTGTTTTCCGTTCTTTTATTATAAGCATAAGCTCTCTTTCCCTATTCATCCTCGGCAAGACTTCCGCATTTGTCGTATGGCTCATGTAGGACATTCTGAGCATTTTACGGTAACACCAGAGTTCGAATGCTTGGATTATTTTCTGTGTTGCTTCTGTCATTGTCCAGGCTTCAAAACCATAGAGCAAGGTGGAGAAAACATAGCACTTAAGTATTCTAGTTCTTAATGAGATGCCCAGCTGGCGGTTGCATAGAACTTTTTGCATTTTGTATAACATTGTACGTGCCTTTTCTAGGCGTATTCTTATCTCTAGTGAGTGGTACCAAGTTTCATCAAGATTACTTCCAAGATACGGTGTTCTTGTTACTTTTTCCAGATCTGTTCCGTCGACATTGACCTTCACCCTTCTGTTTTGGTGCTTGCTGATGGCCATCGTTTTTGTCTTCTTTGTATTCAATTTCATTCCTTCTCTACAGGCTGTCGTTACTTGGTCCATTAAGCGTTGCAGGGCTTTAGCATTATCTGCCAGTATGACAGTGTCATCAGCATATTGCAGGTTATTTATACATTGCCCGTTTATAATTATACCATCCGAGGTGTCTTCCAAAGCTTTCTGAAATATCTTCTCAGAATAAACATTAAACAGCAAAGGTGATAGGTGATAGGACACATCCCTGTCTTACTCCCTTCTCGATATTGATTTTTACAGATGTTTCGCTTTTTATTCTGATTTTAGCCTTTTGTTCTTGGTAAAGGTTTAAAATGATCCTTAAGTCTTTATCGTCGATGACCTTAAAATATCTATTAGTTTATCATGTTTCACCAGGTCAAACGCCTTCTGAAAGTCTATAAAACACAAGTATACATCAGAATCGACATCCCTACATCTTTCAACTAGCACACGTATTGAAAAAAGTGCTTCTCTTATTCCGAACGCATTCTTAAAACCAAACTGAGTTTGACCAGTGTGTTCGACTAGTTTATTGTATACTCTATTGTGTAATACTCATAGCAAAAGCTTCAACATATGATTCATCAGGCTAATAATCCTATGGTCTTCACATTTCTTGGAGTTTCTCTTCTTTGGTAGTGGTATAAACACCGATGTCAGCCAATCATTTGGTATTATACCTGTTTCGTATATTTTGTTAAATATATCTTCCATTACTTCGATGTGATCGTCTAGAAATATCTTTATTATTTTAATTGGGATATTATTTTCCCAACAGCTTTTCCGTTCTTTATCTGATTAGCTGCTTTGATAATTTCTTGCGTTGTGATATAAGATCCAGTCGATGCCTCCTGCATGTAAATGTTCGTCCTTTCTCGGTCTTGAAACATCTCTTCCACGTATTCTCCCCATCTACCTATTTGATCTTCTGTGTTCAGTAGCTTGTTCCCATGTTTATCTTCGATGAAAGACGTAGGAGTTTGTTTAAATATTCCAGCGGCTTCTTTTACTTTTTAGTGTAGATTGAAAGTATCATGTCTTTGTTCCAACTCTTCAATTGCTTGGCATCTTTCACTTAGCCAGGTTTCTTTGGCTTGTTGGATCTTTATTTTGATATTCTTGTGTATTTGCTTGTATGTTGTGTCATTTTTACTTTTATATTTTCTTCTTTCGTCATGTTTAGAATTCCTTCTGTCATCCATGGTTTATTCTTTTTCGTGAATCTTGTTTGAGGTAGTCTTCTGTTACTCTTGTAAGTGTTTTATTAATATAGTGCCAGTCTTCCTCGGGAGTTTGTGTCGATTGTACTGTTCTGTTACTCAAGTGTCTATGTATTTCTTCCCGTATTTTATTACTAGTGGATTCTTCTTTAAGCTTATCTGGGTTAATAGCTATTATTTGCTTATTTCTTTTTGTTCTTTTAAATTCTATCCTAATTTTTGCTAGATGAAGATTGTGGTCGGTGGGGATATCATCTCCGGGGTATGTCTTGCATGCTTTTACTGCGTTTTTGTATGTTTTGTTGACCATTATGTAATCGATTTGATTTCTTTTGATCCGTCCTTGATGTGCTTTTGTTGCGAGATTTCCACGTGTAGAGACGTCTGGGTGGTAACTTGAAAAATACTGTACTGATTTTTCATAACCACAATTGACCGGTTCGAGGTTGTGAGCTCATACTTATATCTGGGATCATTATTCACAAACACAGATTCATTACAAGAAGAGATTAAACGTAGATCTGATCTAGCAAAAGTTGCCACAGCAAAAATGACAAAAATATGGAAGGACTGTCAAATTTCAAGAGCGATAAAGATGAGGTTGATCAACTGCTTAATATTCCCAATACTGACCTACGGATGTGAATCTTGGACTCTGAGACAATCGGAGAGAAGAAAGATAGACGCCACTGAAATGTTCTGTTGGAGACGAATGTTACGAATTCCTTGAACCGACCGCAGAACAAATAATTCAATTTTAAGAGAGCTAAAAGTTAGCCAACGACTCTCTAGTAAAGTCCATCTCCAACAATTAAAATATTTTAAGCATGTTATGACAGCAAACACAGAAAACATGGAAAGACTCATAACACAAGGAAAGGTAGAAGGCCAAAGATCACGAGGAAGATCCCCAACAAGATAAATAGATCAAATTACAGGAATATGCCAAAGACTTATGCATGAATTAAAAGAAATGACCAGAGACAGAGATCTCTGGAGACGGACAATACACGACATCACGTTGACCACTACAGTCCCCCTGGGGGGTCAGGATTGAAGAGAGAGAGATTTTCTTTACAGAACTGAAGCAGTCTATCTCCCCTCTCATTTCTTTTTCCGAGGCCAAACTCCCCCACCGTGTCATTTTCTCTTTCTTTTCCAATCTTGGCGTTAAAGTCTCCTAATATTATGTTGGTTTCATACTTCTTTGTCTGCAGTAGAGTTTTGTTTAGGTCTTCGTAAAATTGTTCTATTTCTTCTTCTGTGCTTTGACTAGTTGGGGCATATACCTGGATAATATTCTTATTGACTGGTTTGCTGTCTATTTTTATTAGCATTATTCTATTTGATGTTGGTAGTAATCCAGAAACTAATTTTGCAATTTCATTAGATGTAATTATTGCTACTCCAATATTTTTTGTGACAAGTTGTTATTTTTTAAAAAGAATGAAAGTTTTTTAATTTTCTTTTTTGTATTTATAAATGTAATACTTATATTATGACAAATAAAGACGGTTTATTTGTTTTTCATGACTTCTCATTTTCCTGCAACTAGTTTCACAAACATTTTATTATCTTCTTTTAAAAATTTATTGACATATACATCGATTGGCTTCAGAAGCGTTAAATTGTGTAAGAGGGTTATGTCTAACTTTAACAAAATATTTGTGATAATCTAAGAAATTATCTCACTGCCAACATATAATATCGACTGGAAAATAATATCATTAAAAAATTTCTAATTTAAATTATAAAAAATGTTAGCTCTTAATTTTAATTGTATTCAGATTAAAAAATTTAAATATATCTTACCAGGAACAATGTAGATATCATCCATCATTCCACCTAAATCTCCCTTATAGGCGAACTGGTATACAAAGTACGGTGCATGAACACATCCGAGTTCTATCTGTTTTCCAGTGGGCGTTGAAAAAGATTGATCGCTGCTCCACTGAAACGAGATAAAAATAAATTAACCCCAAGAAAATTTGGTATCTTATTTCTCATTAAAAGTATGTGTATCTATCACATTACAGCTTAACCTTTGTTCGGATGATACGTCGTGACTTTATAAATAGGCAGGTAACGTACACTGTCATAGGGGAGTTCGCGACGTTTGAAATATAAACTTGCTCGTAGGGAGTTGCTTGGTTTATTAACATAACTATTAAAAAACGTGATTCAGAAATTGTTTTCCTATTTTTAAGGAAGAACCTTGTCATTAAAATTTTGTATCAAAATAATTATTAGCGAAAAACTATTATAATATTGTTGCCGATGTTTAAGAGGCAGGACTATCTAAACCTAGGCAGTGTTAAGATTTCTAATTTGCGTTTCGCAGACAGCACTACCTATAGATTAAAAAATCTCGAGGTCAAAAGTGCTACGTTTAAACTAACGGTTAACTTAAAAAACCAAAATCATGGTTATTATATTTTAGAATATTGCAGGGTGTAAGGTAGTCTCCTCTATGATTTATTTCAGAGCTCTAATTACGAACGAGGAGGCATTCGAAATCTGGCTATGAAGGGTGATCCTAAAGTAATTGTACAAATAAAAACCGTAGATTCTGCACTTTAAAATATTACGATTGAGGCCAACCTGCTTTAATAAAGTATTGATATTAAGAAAGATACAGGATGTTAAAGTGGAAATTTAGCATTTTATTTTTCGTTATAACTTTTACGTTTGTTAATATTTTTAGACGAAGATTTATAATTAGATACTATTGAGTAGAATAAATTATAATTTTATACAAACGTTAATGTAACTGATAGAGGGCGTCATATATACCACATCATCATCATCATCAGTGGTGCTACAGCTCTAGTTGAGCCTTGACCTTCCCCAGTCTATTTCGCCAGTCGTTTCTGTTCATCGCCAACCGTTGCCAATTTGCCGCGCCGATTTTCCTTGCGTCCTCGTCCACACCGTCCCTCCATCTCAGTCGTGGTCTGCCTCTACTCCTATTTCCCAGTGGGACCGATAATAGAGTTCGTCTGGGTGGGTAATTTTCATTTGCTCTTGACACATGTCCAGCCCATCTAAGTCTACCTATTTTTATGAAGGATATTACATCTCTACCATTTACTATTTTTTTATACTTCTCGTACAATTCGAAATTATATCGCCTTCTCCAAATACCATTCTCACAGAATGCGCCCATTATTCTTCTTAGTATGTTCCTTTCGAAGACGAGCAGAAGATTTGCGTCTGTTTTGGAGATGGTCCATGTTTCTGACCCATATGTCAGCACTGGTAGGATGAGTGTTCGATATATTATCAGTTTGGTTTTCTGGCTTAAATTTCTGTTTTTTAGCTGCTTGCTTAGTCCAAAATAACATTTGTTTGCTAGCAGTACCCTCCGTTTAACTTCTTCAGATGTGTCATTATCGTTTGTTATGAGAGAACCCAAATATGTAAACTTATTTACTACCTCAAAATTATATTGGTCTATACTGAAGTTTTGTTCGGCGTTTCTAGCTCTATCTCTGTTATTTGGAATAGATGCTAACATTTTGGTTTTTTCCTCGTTTATTTTAAGGCCCATATTTTGTGCGGCTGTCAAGAAGGTGGAAGTCATCTCTTTAAGTCCTCGTGTAGTACGTGCAATCAAATCCAGATCGTCAGCGTAAGCCATAATCTGCGTTGATTTATTAAAGATTGTTTCCCTATTGTATAACTCGGCATCTCTTATAGTCTTTTCTAACGCTATATTAAAGAGAAGGCACGCCAGCGCGTCTCCCTGCCGTAACCCTGCATATGTTTCAAACGCTTGTGACATATCGCCTTGTATTTGCACTCTGCAGATCACTTTACTCATAGTTGTTTTTACGAGCCTTATTAATTTATGGGGAATGTTAAGTTCATTCATGGCTTCGTATAATTTACCTCTTAGGACGCTATCATACGCTGACTTAAAGTCCACAAAGAGATGAAACGTGTCAATATTAAATTCATTGGTTTTTTCTAAGATTTGACGTAGCACAAAAATCTGGTCAATTGTTGACCTACCTGGCCTAAAACCGCTTTGATACTCACCAAGGTTTTCTTCCACGTACGTACTTAAACGGCTGTACAGGGTGTTGGAGAATATTTTGTACATTGTATTCAGAAGAGTTATACCCCTATAATTTTTACATTCCAACAAATCTCCCTTTTTGTGTAGTGGACATATGATTCCAGTGCGCCATTCCTCTGGCATTTGTTCTTCCCAGACTTTGACTATTATGTTGTGAATTTGGTGCATAATGCTGTTACCTCCATGTTTGATGAGCTCTGCGGGGATACAATCCACTCCTGGGGACTTGCTATTTTTGAGTCGTGTGATTGCGTCTTTCACTTCAAATATTGAAGGAGGTTCTACGTGAGTGTTATTTCTTGGTCTTTGGGGTGACGCATCATTTTCCACTTCGGTACCAAGTAGTTCTTTGAAGTGCTCAACCCATCTGCTTTGTACTGCGTCAGCGGTACTGACTATATGTCCATTTTTGTCTCTACACATCGTCAGCCGTGGTTTAAATTCTTTTCTTGTCTTATTTAGGATATTATAGAACTTTCTAGTTTCATTTTGCCCCTTTAATGATTGAAGCTCTTGCATAATCTGGTTTTCGAAGGTCCGCTTTTTCCTTCGATGTATGCGTTTTTCCTCCTTCCTAATATCTTTGTACATTTGCTCCTTATCCCGTGTTCTTCTTTGTTGCATAAGTTTATATGCATAATTTTTTCTTTTAGTGATATCTTCACATTCATCGTCGAACCAACTGTTGCGTGGAGTGGATTCTTCTGGTCCTAGGACGTTGTTTGCCGCTTCCTTAATTGTTCTTCTACATATATCCCATTGCTCGCTAGCTGTTAAATTCTCATCTGTTGTGCTTTCATGTTCAAGGTAATTTTGATACCTTTCTAGTGCACGGGGCTCTTTCAAGAGTTTTAAGTTGTAGCGAGTACTTTTCTTACCCTTTTCTTTTTTTTGCATTTGAGATTCTTGCTCTTATTTTTGCGCCTACTAAGAAGTGGTCTAAATCTATATTAGCTCCACGATAAGTACGTACATCCATTAGATTAGAGAAGTGCCTGGTTTCTATTAGGAAGTGATCTATTTGATTTTTGGTTGTACCATCAGGCGACGTCCATATATACCACATGTGTGGCATAAATTTGCGCCTAGCTTTTTTACCCTTTAAGTTAGCTCTACTTGTGTTAAAAAAAATTAAAGACACATTATTTTTACAAAGAAGAGATATACTTGTCAGTAACCTTAAAATTTAACCGTTTTCGAGATAATCGCATTTTATATGTCATCTGCATAATAATTAGCCAGCAGTAGATAAGCTTAATTAATAGTTTGTTCTCATTAAAACTACTTAAAAGAGATAATGTAACATCACAAAATCTTTTGTTATAGCTGCTAAATGTCTTATTGGAGCAAAAATTCTTCGTCTTATACTTTAGGTGCCGTGTCCGTATTCAGACGTTGGCCGTTATCATGTTTACAATTTCCCTTTTCTATTACTTCCTAAGTTTCTATACTGGCATTGTATTACTTTTTCTTCATTGTAAAATGCTAAAAACCCAAAACATGTGGATTATGCAAGATGTTACAATACCATGTTCTAGAAAGAAGACAGTGATAACATATTTAAATACAACTTTTCTGAACGTTGGATTGGTCGTGGTAGTCATATTCCTTGACAATGTGGTGAGATATTAATATAAGTATTTAATTTATGAAAAATCCAAAAAAATAATTATTCTTCATTACGTAAATTGTTTAATTATTCTCATTAAGACAATTAGAAACTAGAGCACAAGTATTGAATAACACATATGTGTCTTGTTTCATAATACTTTTGCTACAAATCCAACCTTGGTATAATATTGCTTGGTAGAATAACCAATATTGTTATAAATATAGTAAACACACAAGCAATTTGGTTTAGCATAATATTAGTTCGTTAGTAAATCATAATAGTCCATTTGTTCGAGATGTAATTATAGTTACTCGTAAGCTGTAACGTAATCATATAAATAAGTAATGTCATCGATAGTTTATTCCGTGTATACATAAGTTACTTATGACGAGATATACCACAGTTTAGTACAATATTTAACCGCTGCGACAAATAAGATGTAGTTCCATAATATACCATAAGATTTGGATATGTTTCGAAATGAATATATTCATCCATTATACATTATAGCCACCATGTAGCTCAGAATTTAATCCGCTTGATTCTGGTGTATGGGGCGCATTAAAACAACGTGTATATAAGAATCCCATAAACATTCGAAGCCAACTATGAGAATAAATAAATACTGCAGCAGTTTCTTTAGAACCAATAATGCTATTTAATATGAGACGATCTTTTATGGAATATATTGACAAATGAATTAACGAAAATGGTGAACATATCGAACACTTACTTTGACAAAAATTTATGGTTTTTAGTTTAACTATTTCTTAAATTGGTTTGTAAACATTTTGACAGACATGTTTTGATTATGACTTTAATTTAACATAAAAAGTAAAACGTTTGATATAAAATCCTATTATTCTGCTATTTTGTCAAATCCAATTATTAATTATCCTGTTGATATTTTTATTGTATTTATTATTTCGTTAACTATTAACTTTAGTTAAAAGTATTTTATACCAAAATTCAGAAGTAATAATGTTTTTGTCTATTTTTCCTTCGTTGCCTGGAGTGATTGCCTTAAATAAGAAATATGCAGCTGATTTGTAAAATGCGATTATCTCGTAAACAGATTTTTGAAGTTATTAACAAGTAAACCTTTCGTTTTTTTAAAATAATGTATCTTTAATATTTATCGTCATAAATTCAGGTAACTTAAAGAGCAAAAAAGTTAAGTGCAAATTTATGCCACAGATGTGGCATATGTGGCACCCTCTATCAGCTACATCAAAGTGTGCATCAAATTATAAGTTTT